GATAATTATAAACAAGGTGATAATAAATTTATTATTCTCATTTTAATAAAATTAATTTCATTTTATAATTAATTATAAATTATTTAATTGCCATAAATAAAATTAACATAATCAACTCAAATGACCGTGCAACACCTATCAACTTGGCACCACATAATTGGTAGGTTCAACATTTGATGGGGATGTAAGACATTGGATCCCATGTAATAATTATATTTATATGAATAAATAATAATTACTCATGCTTAAATCCTTTGATATATCTACTTGAACAATTGGTGAGCCTCCATCTTTCTAAAGCTCAGGTAAGGTGTCTAAGACGTACATGGCCTTTCCATGATAAAGCAACAACACCAATTATTGCGAGAGCTAAGTTTAGTGATCAAAGTTCAAAGGCTACCAATCATCTTACTATCTCTAAAGACAATATGGTTTGTGTGATGCATATTAATTTTGTTCTATAGAGTGTGTTTAAAACATGCAAGGCTTAAAATATGTTAAATGGTCAAAGTGACTTATTATATGCCTCTCCATAATAATTCTTATATTCAATTACATGATTCCAAGTCAAAGGTTAGTGAATGCCTCACATGTTAGGAGATATTTCCATGGTTCCAATAAGGGTGGATCCAACCTTTCATTTAAATTAAATGTTATTATATAATATGTGAATAATTTTTGTAGTGAAAATTGTGCAATAAATAAAGAAAAAAAGTATGTTCATCCTATCCTTCTTAGGATTTTAATAGAATGGATAAGGCACATATTTAGAGCTTTCACCACATCATGTATATGTACAAAAGAGAAGTAAAAAACTTGGAAACATGGATGAGAGGGATAACGAAAACTTAGTTAATTATAATATGAGTGTTAAACCAGTTGGATAGATTTGACTGATATGAAAGGGTTTGAAGAAAGTTGGTTCCTTGGTTTAACCTAGACATTTATAATTAACCAAGGTAAATGATTATGTGAAGCCATATGTTCTAAATAAGAGAATATGTTCTAATGAACCATTTTAGATTTAGTATGACTTGGCATTAACTATTTGTTCTTTATGGTTTTTTTAGGGCTAAGTGTAAGTGTAAATGTGTCTTATAGGTTCAAATGAAACTTATGTCTACTTAAGGTTCCTTAATGTGATGGTTTTATGTTAGTTTATCAATTAACTAAACTAGGTAACCTAGTTTAACTAGGTGTAATCCATTTTTTTATGGGAACCTCTTAGGGAAAACTGAGTTTGAGCATTATCTAGGGTTATAAGTTCTTATTGGGTTAGTTTTGGTCAACTTAAACCAAGAGAGCTAATCTCAAGGCAAGTGTTGTATGCAATTAAAACGTTAGTTGGCTAAGTATTAAAATTATATACTAGAGTGAGACCTTTGGTTCTAGATAAATATTACAAATTTTATAGAATTCCAATTAAAATATCTAAGACACCAAAATAAATTTGTGTTATACCTATGATAAAAAGGTCAAGTAAGATTGATTAGATTTGAACATAATGTTGGGGTTCTTCTTAGGATTTTGTTAGGCTAGGTGAAGTGATCATAATGCAAGTGTTAATTAAGAAAACTCACGAAGCACTCTTTGTATGTATTCTATGGTAATAAGAGTTGTGAATATAATGATAAATAATGGGTCAATTACCTTATTAAAGAAAAGTGGTTTACATCTGTTAGATCGCAAAACATGCTAATGCATCTAAGAGAATGTGCTACAAAATATCTAATCCACTATTTAAACTTTAGGGAAATTTACATATGCAACACAAAAATATCATCTATTTACATACCTCACACCTAAACTTTCATGTTTACATATATAGCACTTTGGTTCTTTAAAGCCCGTCATAAAAATGTGTATCTCAATTTTAAAGAATGGTAATGGTGCTATTTTTTATGTGATATTAAACATTTGAGTGCTATGTGTATAAATATAAAATTTTAGGTGTTAGATTTATAAAGCATAAGAATTGTGTGTAATGTATGTAAATCTTCAATATTTTACTTAAATTGAACAAGTAAAGAAATGAGCTAAAAATGAATAAAGAGACCATCTTAGTGCATAAAAAGTTTATCAATTGTAGGTTTCAACAAGCATGAATAGTTTTTATGGATTAATCATATTTTTCATCACACAAGGGGTCAAATAAAGTCATGTTGTTCGTAGTTGAGACTCATAAAATCCCATATTTCTTTGGCCACCATATGCACAAAAATGATTCTATTTAATATCAAAAAATTAATAATCATAATAGTAGTTCTTCAATTGCTAGATTTTTATAATTATGCTTTTAGTGTTGGTACTTGAGGAGTATTACATTAAAAAAATTACATGGACATAGATAACTAAATCATGGTCACTAAAATTATTTTTTAATATAGACAATTCACTATTAGAGATAATGTTTGTTTTCACAAAGTTTGTCTAGCACTCACATTAAAAAAAAAGATAAATAGATGAAAATTGGTTATTTATTTTCTATGATCATATATTTCTATTGTTCATAACATAGTCATTGTTGTCAATAACATTGTTCTAAATATAATGATTTTCATACATATGTAATATTTGTTTATATACCTTGCTTTTTGTGAATATTATCATTCTCCTACAATGAGCATTGTTATTTATCTAGTTTTCATTTCATCTTTCATTATGCTCAATAGAAAATTATGTTGTTTAACTTGGATTATATTTTTTATGATGACTATTTATTTTAAGAGATCCTTACATTGTATCCCCCGTATGCTCCATCATAGCATACTAATTGGAAATTACATATCACTAGTTTTGCAGGAAATTTGGGTTGCAATAAAATCATTAATGTTATCATTATATAATTTTACTAGCCCTCAATTAAGCAGATGACCATTGAGTAGTAGTTGAATTTGTACTAAAAACTTCAGTAAAGCAAAAAAAAATAACTTGGTGAACTTTATAATTCATTACTTATCCGCAATTAATCATAGTTCATTTCTTATCCTCAATTAATCATGAACCGACCAATATAGATTTTATCATATTTTTAATTAAGAATAGCTTGAGGTCATAGTTTATTTTTATTATTACTAATATACATTTTCAAAATGGCCCATTTTATTTTGTATTCAAAATTATTTTATGGATCACATATGTTTTTGAGAAAACAATCAAATTCATGATTTACTCTATAAAATAAAATTAATTACAATTTTTAATTCGTTGAAAAACTTTTTGAGAGCTATCATGATTTCTTTCGGTTGTACAATAAAGTTATAGTCCTCATTTCATCAATAAATGGAGGTTAAATCTTGAGTCAAGAACTCACTTTTGGAAAACGATTAAGATGTTTGGTGGGTAATAGTTTGGAAACTTTTTGTGCTTTATGTTACTACTATAAAATTTGTGCATAATATTTTCTTGCATCACTCATAAATATATTACTTTTATAGTTGTTTGTGGCAAGGAAAAGTTAATTAATATAAAATTTGTACGCAATAGGTTGTGTATTTCTCTACAAATACATTACTTTTAAAATTTTTTATAAAATGAAACATAGAAAATCAATAAAACTTATTACTTTACCCAAGTAATTGTGGTATTAACATTATGGTGCATTTTTTTGGTGAATATTCAAAATCTTTTCATTCTAAAATAAAATAAAAAATTTGAAAATAGTTTATAAAATTAAAGCAATCGTGAGCACTAGTGTGAAATGGTATGAATTTATTGAAGATGATTTTATTTTGATTCATACTAATTCATAAAGTTTCACACAAAACTCCTAGCTCTACACATGCTAATATTAAAGATTTTAATTAAAGATGTATTGTAGACAAATAAACTCCAATCAATATTTAATTAAATTTTTTTTTTTGAAATGCATTGTTGTAATATATTTAATATTAAAGATATATTGCTTATTAAAATATCTTTGAGCTTTTCATGCTACTCAACAATGCTTTTTAGGTAGGACTGTGTTATTATAGGTTCAACAATTGTTCCATCTCTTTCACTTATATTTTTATGATGTCTCAAAGTATGTGCAATTCATTTCAGTTGACTTCAAATAACCCATATAAGTATTTGATATTTTAGAAAAAAATTTCCTCTAGATGAAAATTCTTGAATGGACCATGATCACTAGAGGTAGTTGTTTCAACGCTTATTGTATGACTAACATTGGTTTAAACCTCTCAAACCTCAGGGGAGTTAATGTTGTCTTGCCTTACAACTGAAGTATCATATTATGCAATAGACTAAACTTCACTTAGAACTAGTGGACAAGTTACTTAGAATTTCTCACAATATGCCATTGAGCTTTACACTATCTCAACTCCCATGATCTTCCACCAATCTTTAGAGACAAATTTCTCTTTGGCTCATTCATGTCATAAATTCCTTTCCATGTAAATTTTAGGTGTTTGCAACTCTTATACTAGCACATTATGATTTCCTAGTTTATGTAATAAATACATATTATGTTATGTCTTATCAGTCAAATATCATTTTAGAAATGTGCACATTCAGGAGTCTATATAATATTTTCCATGTAGTATGGAGCTTTGTGAAGCAAAACCTCAGCCACTGTATTCTGATAAGGCAGAATTTGCGTCCGTGCATCTCATTGGATGGTTTTGGATATATTAGTAAAAAACTCAAATTGCATGCCCTGCCTTATTTTTATAGACGATAATCAGATTTCTCTCCAAATAACTTAATTTTCGTTGGTAATTATTTGCATTTAAGCAATTACTTGTTGTAAATTCTAAAATTTTAGGCCGTCGAAGATCGAAAAAATATTACATCAGTATTATGCATGTAGAGCTACGTGCGTAGCCAATAAAATCACGTCACACTAAAATAAAAAATAATACGATAACACTCTTTTATGTTATTCACGTGTTATTATATGTTATTCATGTACTGTTGTATTCTGAAAATATTTTTTATCTTATAATACATAATAACACGTCATGAATAACATATTTTTTTCTCCAGCGATGTATTAATTTTTCTCGAAGTCTGCCTTCCATCCATCCACGAAATTTGTCCACCGCCATGACAGGGCTGATCCGCTGCTTTCCCCCACCACCGCGGTCGAGGTCCGGGGAGAGTTCCCGGTGGGCTTGCTTGCCCCCCTTCGAATTTTCCGTTGGTACCCGTGGCTCTGGTCAGTTAGCTTGCTTCTCCGTTTTGTCTGGCTTTTTTTTTGCTAGGATTAATATTCCTTTTTTTTTAAAATTTTGTTGGTGTTTTTTTTTTAACTTTCTTTTGTTGTTTGAGTTTGCGTGCTAATTGTATGGTGAATGTGGTAGATTTAGTGAGCTGATTCGCAAACGGTGTATTGTTTTTGCTCCATAATTTTTGATTCGCGTTGTTTAGATGGTTACCTATAGCGAGCTCCGGGGTGTCTGAAAGAAGTTCTGGGATGCAGTTTCCTTTCTTAAGTTGCATTACTTATCAAGATATCAGGCGACCATGGATATTAACTTGAAGCCAAACTATTTTTAAAATTTGATGGGATTTCTTAAAATTTACGCTGAAGGAATATGCTCAGTTTGTCTTAGGGTTTAGGGTTTAGGGTTTGGAAAGATAATGTTGCTTATAATCTAGAATTTTATTTCGTAAGTGTTGTATGATGTGCGCTATTCACACTCCCCACAGAAGAGGTGGGGTGGATGTATTATAATATAAAGCGAGTTAAAATATTTTATACTAATTGTGCTGTCTGCTAAAAATCTTACAAAAATAGAAAGTGAAGGAGGTTTACACTTGCCTCAGCTTTAGGATTTCAGGCATACATGCATGTTAGGGAAGAGAGAGTTGCTTTATATGAAAAGCTGTAGATGAGCACATGATGGTCTGAATTAGATTTAAAATTTGCACTATCAATGTAAATTGAGTACTAAGAGTTGTCACCTAATCCAGTCAAGCCAATGTCTTCTCTACTAATGAGTGATCCTTGCATGTTAAATTATTTGGGTGATTGTGACTGCCGCCTCTAGTATTTTGCTGCTTGTCGGACTAGTTGCTCCAAAGGAGCTTGCAAACAACATCCATCGCCTGCTACGTGATCTCATTTGCAGATGTATTACAAATCAAATTATTTTTCCCTCTACGCTTCACCCCTTGTGAACCACTCGTCTTTTAAAGTTTCTCTTTTGCAGATGGATATTTCCAAAAAAAAGGATGACACTAATGCTACTTTTTAATACATCTAAATTAGGAAAAATTAAGAGACTCAAAGTCTTTCATCTTTTCACCCATAACTCCAATATGTCACAACCATTGCAGTTATGATGCTGTGATCAACTTCAAATTATTTTTTGATCACTGTTCAGAGATAATGTCCTCTATTAGTGACACTGATTAACATCCTTTTGTTGGATAAGAGATCTGGGAGAAGATTACAATGCGAGGGTAGAAGAAAAAGAAAAGATTTGCTCTTTGAAAAACTGTGTGTTCTTACATGGCCTCTCCATCAAAAGAAGTCATCAATGGAACTTGTACCATGGGCACTACAATTTACCTAACTTGAAGAACAATTCTTATTGTACTAGTTTTTAATATTACATGCATCTAAGTTGGCTAAGTTGCACTTGCATGACATGGAAAATTGTGCTACCTAGGACCTAGCTAGGTCAAATGGGCCAAAATAACTCTCTTGGCTCTTCATATCTAGGTAATTTGACTGCTCCTTCCATATGACAACCAACCCAAAAACTTTGTAAGAGCCCATGAAGATAGGAGGATTAGTTTCAGAATCCTAATAAAATTTTCATTCATATAGGTAGAAGCTAAATTAAACTCAAATGAAATTGGAAACTTAAGCCGCTAAATGCTAAACAAGGTAAGCGTTGAAAGAGGCCATATAACACAAAGTCAAGGCGTTTCAAAACGCCTTAAATGTTGAAAGGACATGCATCTTATATGGACAAGAAGCTATTGTCGGTGAAGCCAAAAGCATCTCCAACAATGAATCACATAAGATCTTAAGATGAAGCAAGATTCTATGATTAGGCAATGTCTACCAAAAATCCATGATGTGAAGGGTGTGCTCAAATCTACATTGCAAAGAGGGAACGACCTCTTTATTCTCATGATATTTGTAATGAAATACATTTGAAGGGTTTCTAAGGAATCACATAGCAAAGGCGTTGAACTTAGCTGTAATGCTCGGTATTAATGTCATGAGTCATATTGAGCAAAAATCGTATGAAGTAGAAGAGAGAGTCGTATCGTGTAAGAAAGGGCTCTTGTGGCATTTTAAGAGTATACAGAAGGAGATTGGGAGATGAAATTGAAGGAACGAAGTAAAGATCATAAATTGTACAAGAGAAGGAGAAGAGATGACTTGCCTGCGACGAATGAAACCAAGGAAGAAGCATTGCCGACTCTGGCCACGAATACGAGGGTACCTGAGGGCCTCAAACGCACTTGCAGAGCTCCAAGCGACTTCTTCCGACAAGAGTAGGAGATGCAGTTGAAGATGACAAAGAAGACTAATGGCTTTCGTTGAGTAGTTGATGCACTATACTATTATGTAGGTGGAGACGAGGGCTTTGATGAGTGGGAAATTGACGTTCCTGCATATGAGTAGCTGACTATGTGCTTGAAGTTGGCTCAGCGTGTGAAGAGGAATATGGACGATTCTTGGTGCGTGGAATCGAATGAAGATGAAGACACAGGGCTTGACAGGGCTTCAATTGCAGAAAGGAGGAGTTTTCGAGCAAGGAGAGCATGAAAGCACTGATTGTTTGTGAGAGCCAGGGAATTGTACTTGCGTGACCAAGTGAAGGAGGAAGAAAAAGCTGCAGGATGCAAGATTATGTCTTAAATTAAACATTTCTCAAGTTTGTGTGTTGAGAATCTTTCGGTCTCGAGCAGTAGAGTGTGAAAGGGAAGACCATCTGATAATCTCGCAAGGGCATGACATAGAATTTTAAGCTCGACCGAGAGTTCAGATTGTGAAGTCACTTGTGGTGCTTCCTTTACAGTTTTCTTGAGTGTTTAAGATGTTTAGTGGGAAGAAGGCTTTAACTGTGAGGTTAGAATAATATATTACTATGTTGTTATGTCATAATATCGAAATTCATTAAAGTTAAATTCATAAAGAAAATTTAAATGACTCGATAATTAAAATCAATTAAGGTTAATTTTCATATTATTTAGAAAATTGTTAAAAATTTAAAGTGATATAATTCTAAAAATTAATAAGAATCATAATATAAAATCAATAGTAACTAATAAGAAGAAGACTTGAAGAAATATATTATATGATTTAAAATAAATTAATGATTTGTATAATACATTAAAGATAAAATAAAGGTAACTTTGTAAGTTTTAAAATAATAATAATCCTTTATACATTTGATAATAGGTATCCATTAAAGAAAGGTTGGGAGAACAATTGACGTGGGAGTCATCAATGATTGATGTGAGTACTCATATTCTTATGCTGTAGTAATATTTTACTTCTTTTCAATCAAATGTATTTACTATTACTAGTTCTATTTATATCAATACATATTGATTATTCACGGTTCTATTAAATTTTCGTTCATATTGTAAGAATGACGTGTGTACTCGATATTATTTAAATTTTAATGTATATTGAATCTTGTACAAGTTTATTGACTGCATACAAATGAGAATAAAATGATCATTATTAGATATTGATTGTTATATTGATTGTTATAATATGCTTAGCTAGAATGAAGTTCACCTCTTTATGGTATTAGCAAGAGAACGCTAAGGTACACAAACATATAAATGAAAAAAGATATTCGTATTAATGTATCTTCATTGGTACAAATTTAAATGATGCTCCTGCTATGTAGATTAAAAATATAGTGATGTGTAAACGATACAGTAAGATATGGAATGCTTACAATTACTTTTAACGATCATATTAGAGTTTAAACCTTCAGATCCTCTTTGATTGATTTATGTAAAGTTTAACTGACTTGCACATTATTTTTTTTCCATTGTGATACTATAATTTACGTGCATGAGTATTCACTGACTATGATTAGGTCATTATTGATTTAAACTAACATTTAAAGTTTAACTATTTGATTAAAAGAAGAGCAATATAAGAGAAAATATTTATAACGGACGTGGATAACAAGAAATGAGGTAAATTTAACTGTATTGCTCTAATTTACTTTATTTAGTTGTTCTTTAATTTGTTAAATTTTATTTATAAAAAATGAATATAGAAAAATTTAAATTCTATTGTCCAATCTTCTGTACCCCGCCTTTATTAATTAAGCCTCTGGCCAGGTCATGACATCTGCAAAAGAGACATCATTGGGAATAGTTTATAAAATTTATGTAAACCATAACTAAAAGAGCATACATATGCTGGTGGTGAATAATTTGACATTAGTCAGTCCTTTGTTTATATAAGTTTGATGCTTTTCCTTCCATTATACCTTATCAAAGCTATGCATTGATTTGAAGAATTCATGGTAAATGAAAGGGTAATCACTATTTTGTATGGAGAGTCCAAGGTTCAGAAGGGCATTGTTGCTCTCACGATCATGTCGTGTTTGGACTAGTGATTTCATAATACTTATTACATCTTCAACCAATAATTATATCTTTAGTATGAACATACTAAACATATATTGGGCTGTAATTTCAACCTATCATCTTGTTGTGACCTTATAGACTTTCTCGATCTTTATTATCTTGAGATATCTTGTGAAGTCCTAAACGAGTAACTTAACAATATATGGACATGAGCTCTAACAAGCATTCAAAAAATTTGAAAAAGATCACAATCTCTTATGGGTTTTATAGTCCTTGGATCAAATCAAACCATCTGAGTTATTTCTCTCTTAATAGAAAGGAAGGAATCTATAAGTGTAGCATCAACTTTTCAGAACAAAGGGAGACACCCATGAAGACAACCTTTTCTTATGCGAATAAAAAAGGTTTGCACCTCAATTAATTTATCTCCTCATATGGAGAAAAATATGTTTCAATTGTCTAAGTTTTGAGGAGAATCGATTGATTCAAATGGATCAAAGAATATGAGAATTCATTTCAAGAGCTTAAGGAGTATTAAGTGTCACCCTTAAACTTTAATTGCCATTACTCAAGTGGGCCATTTTTTTGTACCATGGAGTTAGGGTGATGTCAATTAGCTTCATCATAATTTGG